AATAAAAATAAACCAATACAAAAAGACAACAAAAAATTTTAAAAAATACATATGAGAAAACAGAAAAAAGAAAATAAAAAGGAAAGAAAATATGAAAAAGTGGAGAGAAAAAAGAGAGGAAAGAAAAGGAAATAGAAGGAAATGAGAAAGAAAAGGGAAGAGAGAAAAGAAGAGAGGAAATGACAAAGAAAAAGAAGTAGAAAAAAAACAGTAAGAAAAAGAAGGAGGAGACGGGAGGCAAAAGAGAAAAGAAAGAGAGGAAGAAGAGAAAATGAGGAAAAGGAAGAGAAGTGGTGATATATATAAGGCTTATACGGACTGTTTTTGGTCCGTATAATCCTTATTGGTGCACCGCAACAATAAATTTCAATTTTTTCGGGAAAATTTTTCGCGCATTAATAATATTCAGACCGAAATCAGTCTAAATAAAAATAAAATAGCGCAGAATCACAAAGATTCAAATTTACGGTAAAAATTTGGCGCATAAATTAATTACGGACCATAAGGCTTATATGGACCGAAAACGGTCCGTATAATCCTTATTGGCGCCCCACACAAAAAAATTTCAATTTTTTCGGGGAAATTTTTGGCGCATTAATAATATTCAGACCAAATTTGGTCTAAATATAAATAAATTAGCGCAGAATCATAGAGATTCAAATTCACAGTAAAAATTTGGCGCATAAATTAATTACGGACCGAAATCGGTCAGTATATGTATTGACAACACAATTGATCACAGTAATATATTCGGACCGATTTTGGTCCGAAAATATTGGGAAAAAATTCACAGAGCACATTTTTATTCTTTTCATTTAAGGATATCACCATTTTCTCGTGTCCTCAATTCATTCCTGCGAAAACTAATTGCATGTACATCGACCCTACAATTCCTTAGAACCACGAAAGCATCGATTGTCTACCTAAAATTATCTTATAATGGTACTGAATAATATTGTTGCAAAACCACGAATGTATAAGTTTCAGGTTATTAGAGATAATGTTACTTAATGCTCTTTTGGAGTAATAAGCAAATAAAATTCATTTTTTTTTCTTAAGGTTAACCACTTTGGCTTGCAAACATTTGGAATGTTACAGTTTAAAACGAGAGAGTAGAACGACTTAAGCATGAAATAACAAAAAAAATAAAAAGTGTTGTTCAGGGGAATATACGGACCGATCTCGGTTCGTATATATATATACGGACCGGTATCGGTCCGAATATAGGCAATCCGAGGGATTTTTTTACCCCAGAGCTAAATTAAATTAAGTATGAATATATATATGGACCGGTTTTGGTCTAAATATATGCAAAGAATCTAGAAGCTTCCATGCTTTTCATTTTTCAGACCGATTTTGGTTCGAATATACTAGAAAAAATCCAGAAACTTCTCCCAGTGCACATTTTTATTCTTTTCATTTAAGGACATTACCATTTTCTCGTGTCCTAAATCTATTCTTGCGAAAACCAATTGCATGTACATCGACCCTACAATCCCTTGGAACCACAAAACCATCGATTGTCTACCTAAAATTATCTTACGATGATACGGAGTAATATTGTTGCAAAACCACTGTCACGCCCCAGAACCCAAATCCGAGGACGTGGCAGACGCCGTGCACTCGTGAGATGGGTCCCACAAATGCACCAGGCTTGGAACTTATCACATTCACACTCTGATACCATCAAAATCTGAAGATCAAATTATAAAATCTCCAAATACAAGATCATGATTCATATCTAAAATTTATATCCAATTACAATATGGCTAGCCTTCTAACTCGTCACTTCCTGTGGTTTCCCCGTCCTCGGTTTCACTTCCTAAAATGGTGGACAAGGAAAACTATGAGATAAACTCAGTAAGTAAATATGGAGTGCCCATTATTAAACTTATAGCATGCCACATGTGCAATCACGCAAAACGGATACAGTACGGGAACGAAATAAACGTCTCCTCTATAGGTCACGGCCAGTGTATAATCCCCACTAGCAGGGCCACGATTTGCTGGTGTATAACCCCCACTAGCTGGGTTGAACGAACCGGCTCTATCACTACATGTCGACATGTGCTAGCGTTTATAACCTCCCCCACTAGCTGGATTGAACGAACCGGCTCTATCACTACATGTCGACATGTGCTAGCGTTTATAACCTCCCCCACTAGCAGGGTCACGAATAACATGACCACATCGGAGACAAAACAGGCAGAAGTTAACAGGAAAATCACAATTCACAATCACTTTCAGATCATCAGGACAGTTCACATTCACTTTCAAGTAGGCATGCTCAATTTAATGAAACATAAACATTTCACTTCAAATCAGTCATGCTCGTGTAAAACGGGTTTAGTCCCGCCACCACTTAAAAAACAAATCAAAACATGCTTTTAAAAACAGTATGGGCATTACCATAAATTTACTTACCTCACTCGCATAAAACCGAGCACTCAATTCACACACTAACTGACAGAACGATCGAGAACCTAATCAAAACACCTCAGAATTAATACCGGACTATCACAAATTCAAGCTGAAATCATCAAGATCACTCTTAATCCCGATGCTATTCCTATCAATCTCCACATGATCAAATATCTCCAAATTCGTTCTTATATCACAAACTAATCATTTAAATTCTCGTTAAATGTTGGCCCTCGGTGTGTGAACAGTACCTATGAACAGTACCTGTGAACAGTAACCCCGACTTTCACAAATTGGCCAAAACACTAGCTAATTCCACAGGATTTTCTCCAAAAATACATAGTAGTCAATTAACACTCAATCACATAAATTCCACTTGAATCAAGCTAAATCATGGTCTAATTACTATCAATTTCATCCCCATTTTTCTAGCAAAATTCGGACACACAAAGCAGCAACTAATCAACCAATTTTCGAGAATTAGAGAAGCCAACCTACCATAAATTTTCCAGTTGCAGAACCGGACTTGGCAGGGGGAGAAGCCGGCGGCAAGTGCAGGGGAAGCTCACGGGAACTACCCAAAATTAAAGCAAATAAGAGCAATTAAGGTAGACCCAAGTTAATTCAAGCAAGAACAGAGGGATTGGTAGCTGTTTCTTACCCAAAACCGGAGCAAATCACCCCCACAAAGCAGGAGTAGCCGGCGGAAGGACAGAGCAAAGTAGGGCAGATCCGGATTTTCCAGCAGGGGGGAAGATTTATGGGTTCCAAATCAGGTTCTTGGACAAGAAAGAAGGAGAAATTCCAAGCTTTCTCACCAATTTTCCAAAGCTGGTGCCGGCGGCTTGGAGGGGGGGGATTTCGGGAGCTGCAGCGAGAAGAAGAAGAGCAGAATCGGGAAATGGCTGGGGAAGAAAAGAAGGAAAAAGAAAAAGAAAAGAAACTGATCCTTATCCAATTATTTTCCCTCTTTAAATCCCTCAACTTTTGAAATATTCACATTAGGCCCCAAAACAATCTTTTCTCACAATCAAGTCCCTAACTTACACTTAAATATTCCCGAAAATTTGGGGTATTACAACCACGAACGTATAAGTTGAAGGTTATTAGAGATAATGTTACTTAATACTCTTTCGGAGTCATAAGAAAATAAAAGTAATTTTTTTTATTTAAGTTAACCACTTTGGCTTGTAAACATTCGGAAGGTTACGGTTTAAAACGAGAGTAGAACGACTTAAGCATGAAATAACAAAAAAAATAAAAAGTTGTTGTTCAGGGGCATATACGGACGGATCCCGGTCCGTATAGATATATATGGACGGGTATCGGTTCGAATTTAGGCACTCAAGGGATTTTTTTATCCTAGAGCTAAATTAAATTAAGTCTGAATATATATACGGACCGATTTTGGTCTGAATAAATGCAAAGAATCCAGAAGCTTCCATGCTTTTCATTTTTCAGATCGATTTTGGTCCGAATATACTAGAAAAAATCTAAAAACTTCTCCTAGTGCACATTTTTATTCTTTTTCATTTAAGGACATTACCATCTTCTCGTGTCCTAAATCCATTCCTGCGGAAACCAATTGCATGTACATTGACCCTACAGTCCCTTGGAACCACAAAACCATTGATTGTCTACCTAAAATTATCTTACGATGGTACGGAGTAATATTATTGCAAAACCACGAACGTATAAGTTGAAGGTTATTAAAGATAATGTTACGTAATACTCTTTCGGAGTCACAAGCAAATAAAATTCATTTTTTTTATTTAGGTTAACCACTTTGGCTTGCAAACATTCGGAATGTTACGGTTTAAAACGAGAGTAGAACGACTTAAGCATGAAATAACAAAAAAAAATAAAAAGTTGTTGTTCAGGGGCATATATGGATCG